CTACTCAAAAGGGCTTTTTATCCGTGACGAATATTGGTTAGTCTGAGACTCCCGAGTGATGATTTGATTTGGTCTTGAAAACATACTTTTATCTGAATATTCATTTTTGCAAAGCTTTTTTTTTTTTCTCTTTCTTGATTTGGTTCTAAGTTCATCATTTTGTAGTTAGTCTGCTTATATTAATTATCCAAGTTGAAAACAAATCTAATCTAAATCTTGTTTTAGTCTTGAATCTCTTGATCATCATTTAAGTGGGTGTACTTTGTATTTTCGGTACTCTTATTGACTGTGTACAATTTATGGTTCTCTAAGCTGAAAAAATCTTGGAAAATAACATTACTATGACCTGTAATCTTGATTAAGAACAAACCAAAGCCAATCCACTACAATAAAAATGGTCTTTGCAACTTTAGCCATCTGTGTCACTGGTGGTTTTAGACTGGCTGCTACTAACTGAATGTACCATAAAGTATACTTATTTTGGGAGATACATTTTGTGTCTTTTGTCCACAGATGTTGGTCAAATACTCTCAGAAGCACGAAATCGATGGCTTCGTCCTCCTGAAATCTGTGAAATCTTACAGAATTACCAAAAATTTCAAATTTCTACCGAGCCACCTACTACACCATCAAGTAAAGATTTCTCACTCTTGCTCGATAAACATTCAGTGTAGAATCCAGAAGAAAGCTCATGAGTTTTAAGAATGATGTTGATGGTGAATGCCTGACTCATTTCAGGTGGATCTGTTTTTCTATTTGATCGGAAGGTGCTCAGATACTTCAGGAAAGATGGTCACAATTGGAGGAAGAAGAGAGATGGAAAGACAGTGAAAGAAGCTCATGAGAGGTTGAAGGTAGTAAACAAAACATATTTCTTTTACGTCGTAATTATTTGACAAGTATGGTCAAAAGAGAAGCACCTTGTGATTCTTTAATGATTGATATATCAGTGGTAGGTACCTATTAGTGATTTTCTTGTTCATGAATATCCGTGCAGGCGGGAAGCGTTGATGTTCTACATTGTTACTATGCACATGGACAAGACAATGAAAATTTTCAAAGACGCAGTTATTGGATGCTTCAGGAGTAAGCATGTTATAACATTATAACTTTAACAAACATTTGCTTGTGAACTAACATTGACCTTCAAGCATTGTAACTTAAAAAGAATTCAATACATAAGTTTTCTTTGTCCTTTTCCTAAAACAATTTCTTTGCTAAGTCTCTTGTTTTTTTTTGTACTTTGTTGGTTACTAACGCAGAGAGCTTTCCCACATCGTTTTTGTCCATTATCTCGAAGTTAAGGTTTGACCCCATCCTATTATTTGCTAGTAACTCTGCCTCATATTATCCTTTGCTTAGAGGGTAAGATTTGTAAATGAATCAGGGTAGTAGGGTTTCTACGTCTTATAACCGGATGCAAAGGACTGAAGATGCTGCTCGGTCTCCTCAAGAAACTGGGGAAGCCTTGACCAGTGAACGTGATGGTTATGCTTCTTGCAGCATTAATCAATATGATCACAGCAATCATTCACAAGCTACTGACTCAGCAAGTGTCAACAATGTTCACACTCCAGAACTTGAAGATGCTGAATCAGGTGCTTCTTCTTTCATATGTAATAGTCACATCTAACATTGAGAATACGCTACTTTTATTGTCTCTTATCTTATGCGTATTACTTACATCCATTCGGCAGCATACAATCAGCAGCCGAGTTCCATAATCTACTCACATCAAGAACTTCAGCAGCCTGCAACTGAAAGAGCCAATACTGGTTTTGATTCATACTATCAAATGTCTCTGACACGTAAGTTCTTGGTAGCCTGATTTTACGTTACTTTTTTCTGTCCAAAGTAATTACCTTCTCATAATTTGCATTTTTTAGCAGCCAGGGATAGTTATCAGAAAGACCTTCGCGTAATACCCGTAACAAACTCTTCCAATATGATAGACAAAAGCAGAACTATCAACGGTCCTGGAGTAACAAATGGGTTAAGAAGCAAAAAATCCATTGATTCCCAAACCTGGGAAGAGATTCTGGGAAATTGTGGTTCTGGAGCTGAAGGTTTACCGATGCAGCCTAACAGTGAGCATGAAGTGCTGGACCAAATACTCCAAAGCTGCTCTTTTACTATGCAAGATTTTGCCAGTCTACAAGAGTCCATGGTGAAAAGCCAGGTATACGCAGTTCTAAGTCTATCTGTCTCAATTTCTGCATTCCTCTTGTCCAATTGTACTGCTGAATATTTTCTATGCTTATATCTAATTGATAGGCTATGTATTCATTGAGTACCTGTGTTTCTTTTTTTTTTCAAACGTCCACAGAATCAGGAATTAAATTCAGGACCTACATCTGATCGTACCATGTGGTTCCAAGGACAAGGTCTACACTGGACTCATCTTCTTTCTCTAAAAGGTTGAAATTTACTTGATCTTAAAAGCTAACCTTCAATTTGTTTGTATCAACTGCAGATATAGAGCTAAATGCTATAAGCAATTTAGCTTCAAACGAAAAAGCTCCATATCTATCTACGATGAAACAGCATCTGTTAGATGGTGCACTGGGCGAAGAGGGTTTGAAAAAGATGGACAGTTTCAATCGCTGGATGAGCAAAGAACTTGGAGATGTTGGTGTTATCGCTAATGCAAACGAGTCTTTTACTCATTCGAGTTCAACAGCTTACTGGGAAGAAGTTGATAGCGAGAATGGTTCCAATGGTCACAACTCGAGGAGGGACTTGGATGGATATGTCATGAGTCCTTCCCTCGCAAAGGAACAGCTCTTTAGCATCACTGACTTTGCTCCAAGCTGGACTTATGTGGGTTGTGAAGTGCAGGTAACGCTGTTGATTTATTTATCCTTTTGGGGAATCAGAAGTTAGGTTTGTGCTGATTTTTCTTTTGCAAAATAATTAGGTTCTTGTCACTGGGAAATTCTTAAAAACTCGAGAGGAGGCTGAAATGAGGGAGTGGTCTTGCATGTTTGGGCAAACCGAAGTTCCAGCAGAAGTTATAGCTAATGGTGTTCTCCAATGTGTTGCTCCTATGCATGAGGCTGGTAGAGTTCCCTTTTACGTATCATGTTCCAACAGATTAGCATGCAGTGAAGTGCGTGAATTCGAGTATAAGGTTGTGGAGGCTCCAGTTTTAGACGGAGAAACAGACGAATCTACTACTTGCAATACTATTGAAGGTCTTGAGGCGAGATTCATCAAACTGTTGTGCTCGAAATCTGATAACCCGAGCTCTTCTCTTTCCGGGAATGACAGTGATTTGTCCCAAGTGAGCGAGAAGATTAGTTTACTGCTTTTCGAGAATGACGACCAGTTGGATCAGATGCTAATGAATGAAATCTCCCAAGAAAATATGAAAAACAACCTTTTGCAGGAAGCTCTGAAAGAAAGCTTACACTCATGGCTTTTACAAAAGATAGCAGAAGGTGGAAAAGGTCCTAACGTGTTGGACGAAGGTGGCCAAGGTATATTACACTTTGCAGCTGCTCTTGGTTACAATTGGGCCTTAGAACCGACGATAGTCGCCGGTGTAAGCGTTGATTTCCGCGATGTAAATGGTTGGACTGCACTTCATTGGGCAGCTTTCTTTGGCAGGTGAGTCACTTCTAGAAAGAGTTCACTAGTTCATCTTACTTTCTTTCATATGGTTTTGGTATCTGAAACAAACGGTATTTGCATATTCAGGGAGCTGATAATTGGTTCTCTCATAGCTCTTGGTGCTGCTCCTGGAACTTTGACCGACCCGAATCCAGATTTCCCATCTGGAAGCACACCTTCTGATCTAGCCTATGCTAATGGTTACAAAGGAATTGCTGGTTATCTCTCAGAATATGCCTTAAGGGCCCATGTTTCTTTGCTGAGCCTAAATGACAATAACGCAGAAACATCTCTAGCAGCGGTTGAGACCGCTCCTAGCCAGTCTAGCTCGTCATTAACAGACTCTCTGACAGCCGTACGTAACGCTACTCAAGCAGCAGCTCGGATCCATCAGGTTTTCAGGGCTCAGTCTTTCCAGAAGAAACAAATAAAAGAGTTTGGAGATAGAAAGTTTGGAATGTCTGAAGAGCGTGCTCTTTCGATGCTTGCTCCTAAAACACACAAACCAGGACGGGCGCATAGTGATGATTCCGTGCAAGCTGCTGCTATCCGGATTCAGAACAAGTTCCGTGGTTATAAGGGAAGAAAAGATTATCTGATTACTAGACAAAGAATCATCAAGATACAGGTATGTAATATTTGATAAACCAAACCAAATAATATTTGATTCTTTTTAGTTGTACTGAAATTCTTAACGGTTTTAACTGGCAATGCGCAGGCTCATGTGAGAGGTTACCAAGTTAGAAAAAACTACAGGAAGATAATTTGGTCAGTGGGGATATTAGAGAAGGTGATATTGCGTTGGAGACGGAAAGGAGCTGGTTTACGCGGGTTTAAGTCAGACGCACTTGTTGATAAAATGCAAGATGGAACAGAGAAAGAAGAAGATGATGATTTCTTTAAACAAGGTAGAAAGCAAACAGAGGAGAGACTACAAAAGGCTCTTGCAAGAGTGAAATCAATGGTTCAATATCCTGAAGCTAGAGATCAATACCGTAGATTACTAAATGTGGTTAACGACATCCAAGAAAGCAAGGTATGTAATTTTAAACTAACTTCAGTCTTATAGAATCAACAAAAGCTGAACAAAATGTGATTCTTAACCTTTGTTTTAGGTTGAAAAAGCTCTTGAAAATTCAGAAGAAGCAACATGTTTTGATGATGATCTAATAGATATTGAAGCATTGTTGCAAGATGATGACACATTGATGTTGCCGATGTCGTCAACTTTATGGAACCCTTGAAACCACTCTCAAGCCTATGTGAGATATTGTCACAGTTATTGACTCATTAATGTTGTATATTCTTGTGTAAGTGTAACCACTCTTCTCAGATTCTGTAACTGCATTCATTATCACTCTAATTTAAATTATATATTTGAATATAAGTTAACTTATAACCAAATAGTAAACCTTCCTTGTCATTAAATTGTACATGGTTGGTTTCCATTAGTATACAAGCTTTCTGTTTTTGGAGTTAAAAGAAAAATGACTTCTTGATTTCAAGTCACAAAATAGCTTGGAAGAGAGAGATTATGTTGTTGTCAACTCATTAAAAAGCCTTTTTTTCTCTATCTTGTTCCGAGGCTCTCATAGAACAAGATGTAGCCATGATCAGTATTGCTCGAGTACTCTTGTGATGAACCGAAGAATGTCTGTACAGCAGATTCTTCGATCATTTCAACATTCTCATCATCAAAGAAGAGCCAATGGTTATGGGATTTCACGAGGCTAACATAGTGACCATGGTTGGGTCCGCTTCCGACATGAACCACCACTGCAAAGAGAGAGTACTCAATGTCCACATATTCTTCCACAGTGTTGCTGAGTTTCAGTTCCAGAGGGAAGACGACTCTGTAAGATAGCTTCTTGTAGCGGCCCAACTGTTCGATGTATTTAAACCGTTTCAGATGTATAACTAAGATGTGTGGCGGTTTCTTAATCTTCATCCTCTTCTGCGCTTCTTGTAAACTGCACAAAAAAATAACAATAAACAGGCTCAGTCAAACATATAGGCTTGTGCTAGATAATATGATATAGATTATATATGTTTGTGAAACCGAAAAACTTAAAGGAAAAGGTGAAGAACTAACTGTAAACGAAAGCTCTTTAAATCATCCAGATTATGGTAAACGCGACCTCAAGGATTAACTACAGTAAGAGTTAAAAAATGAAAAGCATAGGAGAAGGAACTTACCTGCAACATTTGTCACAGAAAAATTTGTCTTCTGCATGCAGAGTCTCTGTAGAGCTGAAGTTTTTTAAACAGCTAGTTATTGAACTGTTTTGTTCGATATCAAGGCTTAGGTCTAGGAATGTTTCGTCTCTTGCTGTTACTGTCTCACACCGCAAACACCTTGTCTCGTTGGTAAGTATACCCTGTAATGAGTTTTCACATACTATCACTTGAGATAAATGAAAAAAAACTATAAAATATGCGAAGTTCACTTCTGTGATCAAGTTCGGTTCGAGACTAGAAAATGCAGGAAGTAAAGCTTTATCATGGAATGTTATTGATGCTTAATGCATCTATACTGAAGGCAGCTATACGGCTATGACCAAATATATTTTTCGCATCTATATCTGGTATCTAAATGAAGCCAAAAATGCACTGATTTTTACCTGAAAAATCTTGTGCACCCATGTAACAATAGGCTCTTTATGCACGCCATTTGCCTGAGGAACCTTCGGTCCATTGGCAATCTTTTCAGGAGATGATGAAATGTCGATTTCCATTTTTGTAGCTTTTGTCTCTTTCTCCAAGATGTCAACAAGTTCATTTAGTAAATAATTCAGGAACTCATGGGCATCCTGCATGAGAATAGTAACACAATTTCATCAAATGCTTTGTTTACAGAGATATATCTTCTCTCACAACTTTATTATCCTGGAATAAAAGGGACTTTGAGAAGGTAGACAGTGACGCAGAGTACCTGATGCATATAACTCCGGAAAAGCTCATTTTGTTTCTTCAACCTCTGTACAAAGCGCTTCGGAGCAATAACTCCTGTTTTCTTCTTTTGGGAACTTATCTACGGAAAAGGAGCAATATAAATTAGCAGACTTACGACGACACTTTGAAGAAGTAAAACTGCCACGATTATTAAGTAGATGATGACAAAAAAGAATATATGAAAAACTAAAGGCTACATGAGGCAAACAAGTTCATATATATGCAATGCCAGTTTTCTGACACAAGCAAAATAAAACAAAACCAGCATGTTTAACACTAGCCAAGACAGTATAGACTTCTCAAAGGGAAAGTATGACGTGTTTCACCACTCAAACCTACTTTCCTTGTTATGGTATAACATATCCATCCATCAAAAAGATACAACAGTAAAACCAAAACATAAGTCGAAAAAGAATGAACGAGTGGTTGCTACACTAGAAATGTGATATATCACCTGCGAGAATAAGTCTGCTAAGCAGGTCAAGAGATTCTCCTCAGCATCAGCTACACTTTTATTATTTGCACAGTACTCAAGCAATTGTTCACGGAAGGGAGCACAAAAATAAAGGGCCTGCACAAGAGAAAAGTTCATATTATAAAACGATTAGTTAAGAACACTAGACAATGGTCTGGCATTCTTCTAGTCCTGGAAAGTTTTGCACAAAACATAGAATGCAAACAGACCTAAGATCACATTTAACCTTAAGAACCGATACACATGATTTAATCCCTTCTCCATTTGTACATTCTATATTTACTTAAAAAATGAAACTTTTTGTCCATAAATACAGTTCAATAAGATCAAAATGCTCGGGACAAACATTGATTTTTCCAAAGCTTTCCCTTTCACAAGATAATACATCAACACCAGTTTCGTAGTGTCCTAAAAAAGCTCGAATACCAAACTCAAATTCGACAGAGATAATCACAAAGTTAGCATTTTTTCAACAGAAGAATGTGAAATTTTCGCGTACTCAGAAATCTCACTGTACCCAAATCAACAAAATTTCTCATACATGGTCAAATCCAATTGCAATTGGCAGGTGAATAAAATTCATCCATTTTTCGATTAGTAATTAAAAATTTCAAAATCTTTAAAAGAAAAATCACCAAAAGCAAAACGATTCGTGCATATAAAACTAGAGAAGGAGAATCCAGAAGCAATTGGATTCGAGAAGATGACCTGCAATACACTGTTACAGTAACAAGTGTTGCCGAAATTTTCGAATCCGAAGTAGCGTTCTCCCTCCGGGAACTGGTCGCCGAGAGCTTTCTCGAGTTTGGAGCCCGCGGCGCCCATTAACCCTAGAAACAGCCTCCGTAACACCGTGATTTCGTCCCTGACTCGTCCGATTCGACTCGGAGAATCTAGAAAGAATGAGTCAATCAATGAAGGATTCGCTCTGGAGATTTCAGATTTCGAAGGCGTTGTTGAAACTTGAACCTGCGAAGAGGATCGAAATAGATATTCTTAATAGTTCTCTGTTCTACGCGAATAAATGAAAACTGTCTAAAAGAGTATTTTAAAAGCAAAGATAAAATAAAATAAAAAATTAAATACGCCAATAAACAGAATTTAATTTGTATTTATCGATAGATTAGGGAAGTAAAGTACACATGCTTATACTCTAGATTTTCCTGATTAATAGCTATGTTAATGATAAAATTCATTATCTTCGTAACATACAATATATATCATCAAATTATAATAAAATTGATGTATCTATCTATCTATATACTTATTTGTGTAGTGATTTGCTGATGTGTCGTGTTCATAGCGAATTTTACAACTTTTCGCTTACGTGTCAGTTTCAGAATGAGTTTCAGCTGCAAAAAGACTGTTTAACCCTATTTTGCAATTACATTTCATTTTTTAATTAGTTCTTATGTGATGATGTGTTAAAAATAACTTAAAACAAACCGCTCTCAATTATTTTGGTTTAATGCTTAATTTGGTTATCAAATCAAACCGTTTCTAAAATTTTATAAAACCAAAATTTAATAAGAATCTAACAAAAAATAAAAATCAATAAATAGTCTAATGGAATGACGGTATTTGTGATGTCTAGGTTAGTTTTCAACTTCAAATATTTTAGTATAAATATGTACGACTTCTTTCTAATTTTCTCACACGTCATACCCTTCTAAATTGTTTAATGTCTAAAATACATAGAAAAATGATCAAAATCGAATAAATTCGTACGATACTTCAAAAACTACGTCTAAAATACATAGAACAGTGATCAAAAGATCTCAAACTATTTAAATTAAATTATTTAAATATTAATATATTTTATCTACTATCTTTTACACTGTTTTTACGGTCATGCCTTCAAACATTATAAATAAATCTAACAAACAAATATACTCAATAATAGAGAATAAAAAACAAATGAATCCAAACTACTATTAAATATTTAAACAACCAAATAAAAAAATTATATATGTCCACGCAAGGCGTTGATAAATTCACTAGTTTGAGTTTTATTAGCTTGAATTAATAATTACGGCATATCCCTACATATTATAAGAAAAAAATATATGCTGGATATTGCCAAGTCTTAAGATTCACTGGAGTAACCTTAATTATCTTCTTAATTTGTCATCTTATTACAATCATTTTCTTGTCTTACACATTTTTGGATTGTAATGTTGTTTTTGTTAACATCTAACTTGTTTTAACTGGAATCTAAAGTTACATAGAATGTACATTTTGGATTGTACTGTTATGGAATGAACAAACCTTTTTTTACCCATAGCTAAACAAAAGTAGTTGACAAAAAAAACATAAAACCATTTAATTTAGAGTCAACTGACAAATAATTTTATAGGGGGCAAAATGTTAATTATTCTTTGGTTGTGGGTGTTCTGGGAAATAAAATAACTATCATGGTGTAGTGTCTTTCCTTTTAAATAAAATAATATTAGGGTGGACGTGAGCATATTTCACATTATTGAGGACAGCATGGCAATTTTCTACTTTTTCTTTGACTAGAAAACGCAACCGTTTTACCCGATCGCCGTGATGACGGCGAGACGAACCCTAATGTGATCACGAGTCAAACCCTAGATCCGGCCTTGCAGAAGAAGCAACGACAGCTAGAGAAGATTAGTCTTCATCCTGCTTTCATTCTGCAAATGGTCTTGAAACTTTTCGAGAGAATCACGAGAATGTTGTTTTTTTTATTTGTTCATATTGTTTTCGTTCAAAGTATTTGACATTTTAGATATTCAAATTAAACTCAACTCAACGGTTTGATTTGTAAACATTTCACGTGACATTTAGGAATTGAATTCAGGGAGAAACCGCACGTCTTTGCATGCCTATATAAATAAGGTCATTAGCCACACGTAGTACGTACTCATCAAAGAAGAAGAAGAAGAAAAAAGAATTCATCAAAAGATTCCAAGAAAACTACGTACATTTTCTAAAATCACTTTCTTCTAAATTCATAATGGTTTCGATGGAGGCCTTAGCGATGGCGGGAGCTGATTGTCAAGAATGGGGACTTAGTATCGAGGAATGGGAGCTTCAAGAATCCGTCGTTCCACCCCATTTACTTGCAGATGATTCTGATGAAGAAGAAGATCAAGATCTAGATGATGATGATAGCGTTTGCATTGGTTTAGCGACTAAACGAGATGTTACTTGTGACATTAGAGCATCGGTTGGGAAATGGATTAAGCAATCTATCTCAAATATCGTTATTCACCTCAAGCTGCTTAAATTCTTGACGCTTATTCTTGAGAACTTTTTGTTCAGCCATGTTATCGAGTTTCTTTTGTAATTTTTTTTCTTAGGAGATCTTTGTTTTCCTTAGAAAAATGGATTGATTTGTAATATGTAAGTATTGTATGCAATTTTGATAAATTGAAACCAAACATATGATTTTTTATTTATTCAGTGTACATGGTTACATATATATGAAGCTAAGGATGGGAAAAAAAGACCAAACGAAACAAAAATCAATAAACGTATGCGGTATGTCGCTGCCTCCGGTTGATTGGCAGGTTTAGGGTTTAGTCGTTTAGAGTTTCGTTCCAAATAAAGCCTCCTCTAAGCACTCTTGACTCTTCTACTTCCCGACTCTTTATGATCGATGAAACATTATATTTCATGATGGATAGGTTTGTCATGGGGCCTCGATTGCATTATATCTGGTACTTCTTGGGAACCTAGAAGCCATCTTTTTTTCGATTGCCCTTATTCACGTTTGATTTGGAATCTTTGAAGATGAAGCTATATATCTTTTCCAAATGCTCCCTGATCTTTCTCTACTTCAAAAGATTCTGAGAGTGGTTAACAACAATTCAAGTGCATTGAAAAATCAAGGCTCAAATTATGGTGAAACATTAATGTTTTGTTGGTCCAACCGCTAGTCTCTTCTCCTTTTTTTAGCTTTGGTCCGTTTTGTCATATTAGTGGCTGCTAAGTTTGCTCTCTCTTCCTTGTTCTGATCTGTGATGGTTTTATTTTGTAATGGTTGTTTGGTTCTTGTTTAATTCTTTCGTAAATTTTCGATTTTTATTAAAGAAAAAAAAAACGTAACAAAAACAAAAATGAAAATGAAACTGAATCTCTTTAAGTAATTGTACTATTTGAGTACTGGAAAATGCAGACCCGAAAGTTTTTTTTTTTTGGGGAAAATGCGGACCCTAAACTTCAGAATCATATGTATATTAGTATATGTTATATTCATTCACGTTTCTCTAAGAGCACAAAAAGGGAAAAGTCTCGTTTTTCATGTTATATCTTTCAAACGAAAGAAGGAAAGAAAGAAAAAAAAAACGTATTGTGTCGTATAAATTCACGAGAATCTCGAATACGGTGTTATTATTAAAACACAGCATGACGTTTGCATCACTACGTAATATCTGCGTGTGAATTAGTGCCATTATATATTTCAAAGTTATCTAAATCGAAAATATATCTCCGACTTCAGACAAGTTGAAATCCACGACGTATCCTTATACATAATGGCAAACCGAGTTTTTTTAGGGTCTCCACCTAACGATGTCATCTTATTTTTTCAAGATTGGATTAGGCATACGATTAAATTTTATGTTTTGAGTTTGCGGAAAATATTTCACTTTTAACACAAACAATTTCATTCCAAAATTTCTAATTTTATGGTCAAACAGGCCAATCAAAATATTTTTGAAAAAAAAATAATAATAAAAAATAATCATAGTTCTAATACCACCAGCATTAACATTCTCAAATTTGAGGAATCTTATATATAAAGGATGGCCAACTCTCTCCATATGAGTGCAACCTCAGCATTTTAGAGTTAATATGGAGATGACATGTGTCAATTTTTAATTTGAAGTTATAATTTTTAAATAAAATTAATTAATAAATTTTAATATTAAGTTCTTAACAATTCAAAGAAAATGAAAAGTTTTTTTATTAATTGATTTTTAATTAAGGTTTATGTAAATATTAAACAAGAATTTATGTTATAATTAATTAAAAATATTGATGATTTTTGTATAAAAACTTTTGATTTGTTAATAATATGAAAAGTTTTTTTTTATTAATTGATTCTTAAATAACATTTATGTAAATATTGAATAAGAATTTATGTTATAATAAATTAAAAATATTGATGGTTTTTTGGTATAAAAATTTAATTTTTTTAATGATATTGCATTTAAAATTGATTGATTTATAATAATATATCAATTGATGATTATGTTTTTTAGAAAAATAAAAAATATAGAAATTTGAAATAGTTGAAGAAAAAAGCCTGCATGTTATGTGCGGGTATCTTATATATAAAAGATGGCGAACTCTCTCTCTATATGAGTGCCACCTCAGCATTTTAGAGTTAATATGGAGATGACATGTGTCAATTTTTAATTTGAAGTTATAATTTTTAAATAAAATTAATTAATAAATTTTAATATTAAGTTCTTAACCACTCAAAGAAATTAAAATTTTTTTTATTAATTGATTCTTAATTAACATTTATGTAAATATTAAACAAAAATTTATGTTATAATTAACTAAAAATATTAATGATTTTTTATAGAAAATTTTTTGATTTGTTAATAATATGAAAAGTTTTTTTTATTAATTGATTTTTAAATAACATTTATGTAAATATTGAACAAGAATTTATGTTATAATTAATTAAAAAATATTGATGGTTTTTTGGTATAAAAATTTAAATTTTTTAATGATATTGCATTTAAAATTGATTGATTTATAATAATATATCAATTGATGATTATGTTTTTTTTAGAAAAACAAAAAATATATAAATTTGAAATAGTTGAAGAAAAAAATCTGTTATGTGCGGGTATTCACCTAATTACTATAATTCCTAGTCATGAGGAATGGAAAGCTAAGTATTTCTTATAGAAACTGATTGCTCAGCCAAATAAGCATCTTTGTTTGGCATCTACAAGGTCTGTGAGAGGCTTCAGAAAATTAGACTAATGTGTCCCCTAAAAATGTGTTTGAGCTTGGCATTCGAACATTGGGTCTCCTAAAAACTTGGTACTCCTGAAATCAAGTTCTGATGCATTTTAATAGGCAAAATATTGGTTCGATTATCTGAGAGCTTCAAAGGTCTTGTAGATTACAAAGTATAACCAAAGGTTAAGAAACAAAACCAATAAAAATACAAGCAATAAAAGCTCCCATACTTTGATTATTGTAGATGACATAAGCAAAATTTGAGAGAAGAAAAAAAGCCAATAAATAAATAAAATGAAAATGTGTAATGGTTGTAGTGAGGTACACTCTTGATAATAATAGAACAGAAACTCTAAACGACATCACTTCGTCGGAATTCAGCAAAATGGCGAACTTGGACCAAGACCAAATAAGGTCCAAAAGTGAAGAAGCCTGTTCAGAATCCAGTCTTCAACGGTCTTCTTCAAACCTGCAAAAAGACAAAGTGCAAAAGCAGAGTACAAACAGAGATGACGAGAGCCTCATTACAACTTGTACGATTGAAGTGTTCAATAAATTTGACACCCTGGCACGCCTGTTTGAAGAATGCTAACCACAAGAATGAGCTTGTTTTTAACTGTGGTAGAGTTATCTTAGGGTTTTCTATGTCTTTCTCAAACTCTTGTATAAATATCACGTAAGTTGTAATGAAGCCTTTAAGCTCTCAAAAATGAATTTCAGTCTAAAATATCTTTAAGTTTCAAAATTCTTTCATGGTATCAAAGCCAATGGCCGACCAATCCATGGAACCATATCCTTCCCCTTCTTTAAATGTTACAAACCGTGTTACTGTTACATTAACCCACAAGAACTACATCTTGTGGAAATCTCAGTTCGAAGCTTTCCTCCGTGGACAGCGTCTTCTCGGGTTCGTCAATGGCTCCATTCCTCGTCCTGCCGAGACCATTCAAATCCGCTCTGGCGATGTTACTAGTTCTGTTCCGAACCCAGATGTTGAAAAGTGGGAGCAGACAGATCAAATCGTTCAGTCGTGGCTTCTTGGTTCTTTTTCAGAGGATCTCCTGAGTCTTGTTGTTGGCTGTACGTCTTCGCAAGAGGTTTGACAGTGCCTTGCAAATCATTACAACAAGGTTTCTGCTTCTCGTCTTTTTGAGCTTCAATGCAAGATTCAAACCATCACCAAAGCTGAACGGCCAATGTCCGAGTTTCTCCAAGAGATTAAAGCTATTTGTGACCAGCTCAAGTCGATTGGCAGTCCAGTCACTGAGAAAATGAAGATCTTTGCTGCTCTTCATGGCCTTGGTCGTGAGTTTGAACCCATAAAGACAAGTATTGAATGTTCTGTTGATTCTAATGCCTCTCTCACCTTCAACGACGTCATCCCTCGTCTCACTGCCTATGATGATCGTCTTCAAGGCTATCTCACCACAACGGACATCACGCCTCACCTTGCTTTCAATACTGTTCCTTCCAACTATTACAACAATGGAGGAAGAGGACAGTTCTATCAAAGAGGAGGAAGAGGCCGTGGCCGTGGATCCTTTTCAACTCGTGGTCGTGGATTTCCACAACAAAACTCGGCTTTTAGGAACTCTCAAGGTTCTTCAAATATCGAAAACCGTCCCATTTGTCAAATCTGCGGAAAGAAAGGTCATGATGCTCTTAACTGTTGGCATCGGTTTGACAATGCTTATCAAACTGAGAATGTTCCTGCTGCAATGGCTGCTCTGAGAATTACTGACATCACCGAGCAATCTGGACATGAGTGGTTCCCTGATACTGGAGCAAGTGCTCACATAACAAGCTCCACGCACCATCTTCAACAATCTCGGCCTTATACTGGATCCGACACAATCATGGTTGCAGATGGAAGCTTTTTTTCCATCACTCATACTGGATCCACAGTAGTTGGCTCTTCCTCAGATATGTTGCCTCTTACTGATGTTCTAGTATATCCAGATATTGCAAAATCTTTGCTTTCAGTGTCCAAGGTCACCAAGGATTATCCTTGTTCTTTTACATTTGACTGTGATGAGGTTGTTGTTAAGGACAAGGTAACCAAGAAGGTACTGCTGCTGGAAAGAAACAATGAAGGTCTCTACAAGGTTCAATGTTCGAATAAGCCCATACCTCAAGTACTTTACTCCTCTAGACAGCATTCTGCAAGTAGTGTTGTTTGGCATAGGAGATTGGGTCATCTAAATGCTCAAGTTCTGCAGAAGTTGACTTCTTCTAAGGCTATTTTAATTAATAAGAGTAGAAGTGTGGTGTGTGAGTCATGTCAGCTTGGAAAAAGTTCTAGACTTCCATTTTCCGATTCTGTTTTTGTTGTAACTAAACTAGTTCAAAGAGTGCATTGTGATA